TCTCTCTCTCCCTCACATGGGCTCTACATAGTTGGCAGGCAGCATGCCCAGCTCGCCAGTGCGCTCCACGCGCCCCTGCATCCAACCCTCGTCGATGGGCTGCACATCTACGATCACGTCTCCGTCCATGAAGGACACCTCGTCGTCGTCGGCAGCGGTGTAGTCGTACAAGGCTCTGTACCGCTTCTGCAGACACACAGGGAACACACCAGTCACGTTAACATTGACCTATTGACCCGACTATAGTTGAGAGCAGGAAAAAAAAAATAATAAAAAAAATCTACCCTGACTTTGAATAAATATTTTAAAATATCAAAAATATGAGGCAGCTCCTTGACAATAAAGACAAAACTATTTCGTTGTGGTGTGCGGCGGACTTACACCAGCAGAGGGCGGTGGGGCGGCGGCTGCCGGGAGCATTGGTTCAGGTACAGGCTCAGGTGCAGGATCGTAGTGGTAGTGCTGAGATCCTGAAGGGGGCTGATGGACAGCTGTAGAAACCAGAAGAAAAACAGGAAGTCACATTAAAATGCAGGAAACGGTTTTTGTCAGAGCTGCTGACAAAGTGTGGAAATGTGTGGATTTCCCCACCGTGAAACGAATAAAGGACTTCTTTATCTTAATCTCAAATCTCTGAACCTGAATTGGTGTTCCTATGATGTAGCACCACCGTAGGGTCCGTGACAGGTCGACGGCTGATGAATACATGGTGACATTGGTAAAGACCGCTGCTTCGGTGGCAACTTCCTGTCACACTGTGTCTAATTGTCAGCTCAGCACTGTGTCCAAACACTTCCTGAAACTTTCTGACATTATCCTCTTCACGTGGCTTCTGAACTTTTGACGCAAAATTAATGTTCACATTTCCTCGACTGTAGGTTTGATTACAACAATCAACATCAGACGACTGTGATGGCCGAGGGACAACAGTCACACAGTGGGTGGAACAACAAGAGCAGGAACACAGCGCAGACCTGAACCTAGCCAACAGTGCAGATGTGGAAAAATTTGAAAGTACTGAAACAAAAGTCACATTTCCATAACAGACACCGCACAAGATCTCAGAACAAACGGTTAGAAAGTCTACTGTACTTTGAAGTTGTGCATTAACAGAACGAAAGATGACATGAATGGCACAAGTCAACAACCCCTGGAGAGGTCGATGCGTCGTGTGGACTCTTGAGCGTTCGCTCTCGTACAGAATGTAATCTCTGATTGGCCGCTACAGCTACTGCTAAAAGTGAGGTTAAGTCAATGGCAGAGCAGACAGTTCCTTCTTCATCCAGTCAGACTAATCGTTGTTCTTTTTTTTGCAGCATCAGATGCTATGTCCAAGAATCTGGCGAGATTTGTGTTGAATTTGTTTGTTTGTTATTCCGCGGTTTTCTTTACACCGTAACATTACAGAGAGCTCAAATAGCTGTGTTCATATCCATGTCGCTCCTCCTCTGTGTCAACGTGATGATATCATTTGACAAGTCAATAATTCAGGTACAACTTCCTTCTTTTTTTTTTTTTTCAAGTTGGTAGAAAACAAAAATTGCACCACAGATTATCTGAAGTAATTACTGTCTGAGCCAGTTGAGGGCGCTTTAGGTGAAACTGAACTATAGATTCCCCACAGTTGATTGAAAAAAAATTGACTCCAGTAAATAATAATGCCTCTCTGCCTGCACTAATGGTTACACTGCACTAATACTTGTACTTCGTTAGCTCCTCCGGCTAAATGCTAACGTAAACACCATTAAGGAGAGTGGAGAAAGATTCCTGACAACCAGGTTAGGATTTATAAACCACTTCAAGCCCAATCTTTGTGGAGAAACTGACAGCTGAATTAGGGATAAGAGAATCTGGAGAAACGTTACTTGGTGGGTGGTCTCCTCCCATCCTCCTCTTCTCAAATTCCTCATGGTACTTAATCTGCAATAGACAAACACAAACAGTGTGGGTGAACATGCATGAGGTAGATAAAAAAGTTTTAAGACTGCGTACAAATACATGTGAACATTGCTGCAGATGTTCATGCAGAAAACCCTAAACAAACATCGACTTTTCTCTTTCTAGAAGGTTATCAGAGCACCGTTGCATTTCCATTTCCAGCCACCAAGGGTCTCCCTTTTGTTCTGCAGCATTTCTGCATGTGTGGAGATAGGTGGGGCACAAAACGTGCAGCCGAGCTTCAGGAAGCAGCTTGACACTCGGAGGAAATGACGACTCAGCAGACGGGAAGTAGTGCGAACCCATAGAGTTGCATAGCAACCCCGGGCTGACACACTGTAGAAAACAGGTGAGGTGGAAAAACAGGGACGAGGGCGACTGCTGGGGTGAGGCAGCAAAAAGGGGCAGAAGATACTGAGGGGATCAGGGATACCAAATACTTTGACTTGGAGTATCTATGGTACGGCTGAAGGACAGGTCACACATCAGTCTCCCATCAATATTAGTGGAAATGTCCAACTGGGCTTCTGTAGCAAACAAGTGTCTATGTGTTTGATTAGAGATTAGACTTAAATAAGTGTGAACTCCTGTAATGTGAAAAACCCTGATTTAAAATAAAAAAAGATTGATTCTCACTGCCCCCAAAACATGTCCGACCGAGGCAGAAGAGACACGTTGGATTTCACCACTGCCCTCTAACCTCACCAGTCGGTGCAACAAAGGCAGCATTCAGGGACACGGCACGAAGACAGAGCTACGACGATGAAGTTGAAATTGAGCGAGTGTTCAGAGACTCCTCTAAATACCCCCCCTCCCAATTACCCTGGCTGATAACAGACTGAGTCACAGTGCACTGGGCAACATTCACCCCTCACCCCCTCTGACGATTCTGTCCTGGTGTCAAAGAGCCCACTGTGTGGGCCGCATTACCAACAAGTGTGTTCTCAGACTGGATGGGATGATGAAGAGTTCGCACAGAGAGTGAGAGAACACGGTGGCTGCTCTCCAGTTCAATATGCTGAGTGAGAGTGTGTGACGGAGGAGACGTGAGAGTTGGGTTTTGAAGTGCAGGTCAAATACATTGTCTTCCCATTGAATTATGGAAACCACATCCTTCAGTTCAGGTCCAGTGTCCGATCAGAAAATAATCCAGGCATCGGCGTACTGATTAGGAACGTAGCACTTATAATATCGACGGGAAAACGGATGGAGTGGCCCTGTCGTCAAAGTAAGATAGTAACATGGATTTTGATCAACAATATAAGAAGTCAATGGTAAAATAAAGCTACATTATATATAGAGTTCAGTGTATTTTCCTCTGCAGATCATCAACAGAAAGGTCAGGCCACATATTTCCTAATAAAGGAGCACTTCCTTTTTGAAAACGAGTTCCTCAGTTTCTACAGCTTGACTGCTGGTTTTTTATCTCACATAAAATGATTGTAACATTTGCAGCTCTAATATCACTGGTATTCAAGAATATAAAAGACTGGGAGTAAGAAAAACGTAAAGTTAAAAAGTTGATTTAGGTGCAGAGGAAAAAGGAGAGCTTCTCGCCGACGGCCTACGATCGACACCATCCACCACCAGCAGATGTCATGTTCACAGTTTGACAGATGGCCGAGTCATTACATTCAGTGTATGTGTTGACTTGATGTGGCTTGTCTGCTGCTAGCCTATAAATACATGTTACATGTGTGACGGCGCGCACGTTGTGTAGACGTCGGCCGTGCAGGATCTCCCTCTACATGAAGGCAGTAATTACCCATCACTCTCCACGCTCATTATGCCATTAGTCAGGCTGGTGCATGAACGTTGATGACTGTTTCACGAGCAAAATAAAGTCCATCACTGCAGGAGTCAGGTCAACTGGCTGCGCAGGTTAAACACTGAAAATCTGTGTTCTGTGTTTACAGGGAACTGGAAGGTCAATCAAACCAGGAGGGGTAAAAAAAAAATAATAGAGGGTAGATAATGGAGTTAATCAGGCATTGAGGAGGGAATCTGGTGCTGCTCAGGAAGTCAGTGTTCGTTTAGAAATCTTTAGTGTTGGAAATATCAGAAAATTAAGACATATCTATTAATGCCGTTTCAAAAAGCAGCACTGTTTGTATTTAGGAATGGCTCGAAACAACGAAACTGATACTGCGACTGGGAGTCGCTGTTGCCATGACGATGGCATCCCTGTTCACAGCATGTCACACAAAGTTAAATTGAGTGTTTGGGCTTAGCTGTCGGATGGGACTGTAGGTGTTTTAAGATGTTGGATACTTAGAAATTTAACCAATATCGGAACAATACCAATGCCCCGTATCGGATCGGGTCATCGCTAGTTGTATTCCTATTAGTTTTAGTTCCAGTAAATAGTCAATTAAGTCAAATAATTAAACTAAAAACACGTTAGTCAGTTAAGGTTGCAGTTGCAGACAGTTGCTGTGACAACCAAAGCGTTTGAAGTGGATAAAAATAATGCTCAAAAAAGGCGTCAAGGGCAAGAAATGTGCGAGGAGATCAAGTCCGAAGGGCGTTAACGTGGACGAATGCTGATTATGGTATCAGGACGCCGAGCGCACAGAACAAAGACTGACTAGTGGTGTACGTGGCGTTCCTTACATTGCTGATTTGATCCTGTGTTTTCTTGATTCTCTGCATCTCGGGCGTATCAGAGACCACGGTGAAACCTTTTCCTTTAATCTTCTCAAACTCCTCCTTGTAGTAAACCTGCAAGAAAAAAAAAATGAAACATTCAAATTGCAAATAAAGTCGTACACGTCATAATCTGACTAAAGTTCTCACTCATTTGCATAGTTTCTACATGTTTGTGTGGGAAATCTAACCTATTATTTTTAGACACACACACACCTGCTTGAGACGAGATAAACAACTAATTCTTAAGTTATGGAGCTTGTCCACACAAATGGATCTGTGCTGAGTTCTAATGAAGCCTGTGTGGTCCAATAAAACACTTTTACAGCAGGAGAGAAAATGGTTTTCACTGTTGACCTTATTGACGCTTGACACCATCAAGTTAAAGCCAATAAACCAACACGCACACACTGAAATGTCACCTCGGGGAGGGGGCGGGGGATCACATCCCGTTTTCTGTTAATCAAAATATAAGTAATTACATTTGTTTTCAACTGGATTTTTTTTGGTCAATTCCTGCATTTGTAAAGATTAAAGTTGTCAGCTGTTGGTAAATGCTGAGTTCAGTGACTGTGTTGTAATATTTGTGCAATACTTGTACTAAGCGTTTCCAACAAAAAGCGATCTTTTTTTTGTGGCTGGAATCTTCACTTTCTTCCCATGAATAAAAAATGAGTTTTATTACGAGAGTGTTTGAAACTGTCTGTGTGAGGAAAACAGGAGCATAAATATACTGCTGAGGTTTTTTTTTTTGTGGTAATTATTCTTTCCTGTTTGCTAAAGGGTGCCATCCTTACATACAGGACGTGTGGTGGCAACCATATATGGTCAGAATGTGAGGTGGTTTACAACGAACGCTTCTCTCTCTCTCTCTGTGAGTGTGTGTGCGTGTTTTCAGCCCCCCCACCCTGTTCTGACCCTGAGGGGTGTGCAGGAAGTGTCCTGCCCATGCAGCGTCAGATGAGAATCAGCAACAACTACGCACTGATCTGCGGGGCTGCTGTCTTGAGGCTGAAATGCTCAAACCAGGGGTTCAACGGTCGACCGACCAAACAGGAAGTCGTGTCGAGTTTGTATTTTTAACCTGATGAAGCGGTGACACATCGTGGCTTTTGGCCAACAGGGCTCTGGCTGCACACACCGTGACTCTTCGACGCCTGATTTCACCTCTCTACCCGGAAAAGTAACAACTCCTTCAGAGTGACTGCATCAACATCCTGCCTTCGATGTAGAAATGAGCGCGCTCACACAGCCCGTCCTCTCCTACAATGACCAGTGTCAATACCAGGCTGACCAATCCTTCACTCATCTGTGACATTAGTGATAAAGGGCCAATAAAAGAAGAAAGTCAAAGGGCAAACTGTGTCGGAAAACAACATGGAGTATGAGCAGTGCCCAATAAGTAGATCAACCTACAACTAGATTCAAAGCAAGTGCTGATAGATCATTAGCATTGAAATATAAAAATAAATAAATACGTAATTATATTTTTAGTTGTTAATCACTAGATGCTAACCACTAGGTAAATTAGAATTATCCAATTCACTTAATTGGCCTGAGACCTACTATTTATCCACTGCAAATATTTTGTCATAGTTTATCTATGCAACAGTCACGGGCAGCATTGGGTGACAGGAACTGCCTATCGCAACTAATATGTGCTCAAGTTAGAGCTGTTGAAGATCTTCCTGTGTGAGTATATCAGCATTGTGTTCAACTAAACAGGCCCAGGTTTTTTATGCATGATTTTTTGTAAAAGTCAAAGGCTAAAATGCTGTTATTATATCGCCATCTATTGGGGAAATGTGGTTATTGCAGGGAAAAAGGCAGAAGTATAATGATAATATAAATAAGTTATATAATTTGGAAAAGTTTGGCGGGCCGGATCCAAAAGCTGAACAGGCTGCATCCAGCCCCTGGGCCTTAGTTTGCCCATGTCTGCTTTAGATGCACATTTACATGATTGCGACCCATGTTTCTCCAGCTCTCTGCTCCCATCGGTGAACACATTTTCCACCCTGATATTTTTCCACCTTCTTTGTCTTTTTTGGATCCATACTATAGCACCCCCTCTTCTAAGCATGCTCTATTAGCCACCCACGCTCCTGACCACCTCCGGCTGCTGCGATTTCTAAAGATTCATTCATATTTCACAGCTCTAACAGACACTTATGCAGTCATTCCATAGAGTTCAGACTCTTCCCTGTGATAATGCTTCTTTCCATCTATTTGCATTTCTCCAGCTCTCGGTCCTCTGGGGATTTTACTTTTATCTCTTCCTCTTTCACGCAGCAATTCCCCCTCTCTCTGCATTGGTGCCTTCCTGCCCACCTCCCCACCCCTAGCCTCGCATACGTGCCCCGCGTCACTCTCTCCCTCCTCGCAAATTTGCACTCTCCAGTTTCTTTATTTTCTTTCTTCTCTCCATCTTGTTTCTTTCTGTTTCGGCAAAGTCTTGTAATGAGGTGTGACAAACCTCTACCCCGCTACCATAGCAATAGAGTTACCCGTAGCAACACGTAGCAGCAGTGACGTTGCGAGGGATTTCAGTGGTCAGTTATCCACCAACACGTTCAACTTCCCCACACAAACCACAGTCAGTGTTAATGGCTGATTTCTAATCAGGCGCATACAGATTTACTGCATCTGTGCATTTACCATGTAGTACTGTGGACTATATTTTACCATGATAATTATATGAAATAACATATATATTTAATATTTTTGATCTAGATAGATCACATTGGCCTGGTGATTTGAATATTAGCTACCTACTGCCTCATCAGTTGTAGAAGACACTAATGCCTGTTGTTTTGTCCTTATCAGGCAAGCCAAACGTCTTATAGGTATTCAAGAGGGGCACGTATTAGACTGCAGTCGTAAAAGTGACATATTTTGGGTGCAAGACTCTGCAGGACAGAATGTAGTTGAGAGTTTACCGAGCCTGTAACACACATTTCTTTTACGCAGTAGTGATGATCTCTCGCTGTGTTTGCTGCTCACTTGATAAAGTGCTCTGCCTTAGTACAACACTGAAACCTACTTTTATTTTTTAGAAAATAAAAAAGTAGGTTTTGAGTAGTACTAAAAAATAAAAGTAGGTTTTGAGCTCGGAACTACAAAAAAATTAGCATTTTTAATTCAAGGAGTTCTACAGAACTTGACACATGACATGTTAGTTAAAGAAACTTTTATCTTGAAAGGCCAAAAGGAAATCGACGTCTTCAAAGTTAACCAGAATGTGCTGACAATTTCATTGGGCAATCTTTCACTTCCGTTATTTCTATCAGTCGGAGAAGCATCACCCAGTGTTCCCGAACCACTGGTCACAAAATGGCAACAGAGCAGCAGCAGATATTGTTACACTGCTCTTATATTACATTCGTTAATCTCAGTCTTTCACAGATATCTTTGGTGAAACGTGAACTCATTTTCGACCATGGTTTCTAATAATCCGTTGGTCTAATCACAGCCTGATGGTTTATGGTGGTGATGCTGTTCATACAATCTGTGTTGAAAAACACCATCTGTCCCTCAGACCATCACTTATCTCCATGTCTTTAAACCTGACCACCCCCCCACCCCCTCCGACCCCAGTCTCACATCTATTACTTTGACGTGGCCACTGGAACACGATGACTGATGTGCCTTCTTTGAATGACTCCGCCCACTCCCCGTATGACTCTGCTCTGCTACATGCCGAGAAAACAAGTGTCTCCTTCAGCTTCTCCCTGTGATGCCTTGGTATCTCTCTTCCCGACGTTGGTGATTAATGAGGCTTAAAATGATTCGATCTGAACACGAGCTTCTTTGTAGAAAAATCAGCACTGACTTTTTTTCTCCCTTATTATATATATTATATTAAGAAATGTAATACATTAACAAGTAAAACTTTGTTATTCCCTTTTTCAAGACTGGGTGTATTTCAAAGGAACTTCACTCCAGGCCTTAGACTTGAGTTTGTGACCTAGTGTGAAAGACAACACTCTGCCCAGAATTTCACAAATCAGACTGAAACACTTCTTCCAGAAGTGCTTAGACTTAAAATACCCTTGGGTCGACGTGTCAGTGGTGACGGGGCTTTGCCATATTTTGCTGGGACGACTTCACAGCACACAGCCAAGTCGAAATTCTTTGTCAGGATCTTTTTTTTTTTTTTTTTTTATTAGGGCAAAGAGTCATGACCCAATTCAAAAAGATATTTTTGGCTCCAAGGGCTGTTTTAGTCTCTCATCCTCTAAGGTTTGAGTTTTTTTAAACGTTCACACAGTGCAGTTTAAGCGAGAATTTCTGGGGTTAATTGAAATGGCATTCAGTGAACCTGTAGCTTTAGTAGAATAGCTGAAATGACGGGGGCTTGTTCGGACTAAAGCGGTGCATTATATTAACAATGTAACCCTTTCTTGTTGAGCAGGCATCACATTTCAGCTAATGCTAACAGGAAATGGGAAAAGACCGTGAAAGACTGTCCAGTTGTTTTAACATTTTCAATAGTTTTTGGTTAACTTTCAAATAAAATTTGAAGGGGACATAAAGGACTTTTGGTAAAAACTATTTTGTTCAGTTAAAACTAATGGATACAATATGAATTAAAAAGTCACAGTTTACTGTTATAACAGTAGGAGGAAGAATTCTGTTTAATCATAATTCTATTTAAGTGTATTTACATTTAGTTTTTCGTTGCTTAGCATTTTAAGCTTCATTTACATACATTTTGAAAACAATCCCAATCCAAATTTGATTTTTTTGTTACATCCAATCAGGTTGACGCATCTGCTACACTACCTTTTTGGGAGTACCAGGTCAAATGTTTCACAGGAACCAGGCCTCTAAAATGAAGTATTCCACTATAATACCTCCCTTGTGGGACAATGTGGAAATAACCTTATGTAATGTGTGTGTGTGTGTGTGTGTGACTTATGTATAACTGTGAATACAAGTCAGTACAAGCAGAAATAGTTACAGTGCTCTGCATCTTGCTCTGCTGTTTGAGGCGGAGGTTCTCTGGAGTATCAGCCACAGCGGTAAAACGTGTTTTTGGGTAGTGTCTGCAAAAAAAAAAAAAAAAAAACATTAGTAATTCCATAAATGCACACAGAAACGCACACATGCGCACACACAAGCAGATGCCAGAATTTGCTCAAACTCCCACGGTGACAGTGAAGCCAAAATAAAAACAAACAAAAAACACCATAACTCAAACAGTGTGCAGTCTGTGGGCCCACAGTGGGGGCATTTGTTATTCAAGGTGGTCTTGAGGTTTGGTTAGAAGCCCCTGTAGACAAAAGGCATGTCAGTAGAACACACAATGGTCGGCCAGAACGAGGCAAGGTAGAAGTGCG